TATTTTAATTTTTTTTCATTTCTGCTTTTTTTTATGTGATTTTTTTTATTGTTTTCACTAATTTATTATAATCATTATTCACCTTCAATTTTTTTATATTTAATTTAAATTTTAATTACTGTAATTTTTGTTTTTTTATATTTATTTAAGTTAAGTTTTTGTATTTATAATTTTGTTATGTATTTTATTATATTTTTCTTTTATATCAAGTGAATTGAATTTATTCAAATGTTATTAGAGCATTGAATTTAAATTTATTTATATATTAAGTGAATTGAATTTATTCAAATGTTATTAGAGCATTTCAAATGGTACACTCTTTTTTGAGTTTTTTGTGGGACCTATTAAATTATATCATCTTAAAGTAATTCGTCCAATTTTTACTCCAATGATATAGCTCTAAAGAATCTATATTGGGTCTCACATATTTACGTTATATATTAATATTTTATTCATATTAAATTTTTATTTTATTTACAATAATATTTTTAATTATTTAAATTAAAATTAGCATAAAATAAAATAAAAAATCAAATTAAATTTAAAATTTTTAAAATTTAAAATGATAATTAAAATTAATCTCAAATACATGACATGTAATTGAAAATAATAAAAATAAATAACATCATATAATCAGTCAATTAGTCAAATTTAAATTTTATCATCCTAATGTTCAAAACATTCCCAAAATATATTTTTCTTTTCTACATTTCCATTGTTATTTAAATGCCTATTCAGCAAGTTTAAATGAAACATCAGCGCCGTTTGTGTCACATAAGTGTTTTTGGAAATGAGTTTATGAAAAAGATCAACGGTGAACACATTAGTTAACATAAAGAACCAAATTGTAGAAGAAGAAAAAATATAAAGGACTGACTTGTTATAATAAAATAACTTAAAGGATACAGGGTATATTTTTTTCCTATTTTTTAGGCACACAATCTCTAATCTCCACTTTCATATAGTTATCTAGAACCTTAACTGACTTTGAGGTTGGAGCTAAGCCACGATAGTTCAAGATTAACCTCACCGATTCCAAAAACATCTAGATCACAACCTCTGATCCAAGGTGTCGCATCACCGAATTGCCTAGGAAGCTTTGCTCTGTCGTGGTTTCTGCAATCACATTCATTTCTGATTCGGCAACAGAACACTTATATTGGATCATATACGACGTGTTTAACATCAATATAAAATAACATATCATTACATATCCATTGACTACATTGTCTAACCAATGATTCCAAAGAAGAGAAAGTTGTTTGATGGGAAGCCATTTTCTGATTAGGAGAAAACTAAAAAGATATCAAATGCGGCTGGTCAACCTTATGATTGTCATGGTTGCAATATTCTCTATGAGACCACAATGACTTGCACTCTGAGTTAATAATTGAGACTAAACAGTTGTATTTTGATGGAAACATGCGTTTAATGTCACATGCAAAAGAATTTGAGATACACAAAGTTTTTTCATAAATTAAAGATTCTACCATTTTCCCAATCAAGGTCTTTAGGCATGCCAAACAAATTTTCCTTCACCAAATCATTTTTAAAAGACAATTTCTTGATTACGAAGTATATGAAACGGTTTTTAAACTTCTAAGTATGCTTCAACATAAAATATGTAAAATTTCTCCTAGTTAAAATATCTAAATACATAAAGATTTTAATACTTTATCATTTCCTCTTTCATTCATTCTTTAAGGGTATGTTTGGTTTGAGGTAGATGAAAGGGAGGGAAAGAGATATTTCTAATGAAATATGTTTAGTTCAATTTTTAGGAGGGGTGAGGAGGGGAGCAAAATTTCTCCAAATCACTCTTTTTACATCTTCCAAATAAGAGGGATTTGGGGGAGGGGGTGTTTGAATATGAGTTTTTGTATTTAATAAATTATTATATTTATTAAAATATCCTTAGCTTTATTTTAGTATTAAATTTTTTTTTTCATTTCTGCTTTCTTTTATGTGATTTTTCTTTATTGCTTCCACTAATTTATTATAATCATTATTCACCTTCAATTTTTTTATATTTAATTTAAATTTTAATCACAACAATTTTTATTTTTGTATTTATTTTTGTTAAATTTTTTTTAATAATTTTGTTATGTATTTTATTATATTTTTCTTTTATATCAAATTTTAAATTATTTATATATATACATATATATATATATATATATATATATATATATATATATATATATATATATATATATATATATATATATATATATATATATATATATATATTACAATGTAATAAATTAATTAATTAATTAATTAAAATTTGATATAAAAGAAAAATATAATAAAATACATAACAAAATTTATAAAAAAAAAATCTAACAACTCATTTCAAATGTTATTAGAGCATCTTTAGTGGGATTAAACTAAATGGATAAAATAAGATATTTTTTTATGGGCCCAAAGTGATTTGTAGGATTTAAAATATTTATAGTTGATTTGAGTTATTTTTACTTTAAGGATGGTTGTTTGTAAAAAACCAAAGCTTGACCTTATATTTTATATTTTAATAATATAAAATAATAATAAAATAATAATTAGAGTTATTGAAATTTGATAGTGTGTGTTGATTATATAGTTGTCGAAGATTAATTGTTAGTTCACTTAGTGTCATGTCATTCTTATTTAAATATAAATTGTTTACAACTACCGTTACTATTAAAGAATTTAATACTACATAATCAGCACTAATGATGCTCTTCGAGCATTTCAAATGGTACAACTCATTTTTTAGTTTTTTTGTGGGACCTATTAAGTTATATTATCGTAAAACAATTCGTCTAAGTTGTACTACAATGATGTAGCTCTAAAGAATCTATATTGGATCTAACGGATTTACTTTATATATTAATATTTTATTCATATTAATTTTTATTTTATTTACAATAATAGTTTTAATTATTTAAATTAAAATTAACATAAAATCAAATAAAAAATTTAATTTAATTTAAAATTTAAAATGATAATTAAAATTAATTTCAAATATATGACATAGAATTGAAAATAATAAAAATAAATAACATCATATAATTAGTCAATTAGTCAAATTAAAATTTTATCATCCTCATGTTCTAAACATTCCTAAAATATACTCGAGTTGTTCTCCTTAAAGTTGACGATGAACTTGTTTTTCACGAAAGCTTACTCTTCTTTGTAGTCTTGTTGCAAGATTCGGATGAGAACGGTTAAATGTTTTAGTTTTTGAGATTCGTCCTTTCTAGCTGATTCTTGACATTGTGGAAATAGTTTTCTCTTTTTTCCCTACGGCAATGAAATGGTCTTGACAAATGTAGTTTACTCAAAATATATATCATCCGTTAAATAATACCCCATATTATATGGTGTCTCGTTAATTGTATATTGTACAATGGTAGCATGTCCTTCTAATATATTGTTAAACATGTTGGATTTGTTTAACACATTATTGTCATTGTTTGAACCTGCAATACCAAAAAATGCATGATAAAATAACAAATCCATAAGTTTTGCGATATCACTCCTTCAAGCATGATTGTGGGCTTACCATGATTATCTAGACAAAACTGTCCTTTTCATGCATGATTGTGAGAATATGAGTTTTTGTATTTAATAAATTATTATATTTACTAAAATATCCTTAGTTTTATTTTAGTATTTTAATTTTTTTTTATTTCTACTTTCTTTTATGTGATTTTTCTTTATTGCTTCCACTAATTTATTACAATCATTATTCACCTTCAATTTTTTTATATTTAATTTATATTTTAATCACCACAATTTTGTTTTCTTTTATAATTTTTATTTTTATATTTATTTATGTTAAGTTTTTTTTTAATAATTTTGTTATGTATTTTATTATACTTTTCTTTTATATTGAATTTTAAATTATTTATTTATTAAATTGTAATATATATATATATATATATATATATATATATATATATATATATATATATATATATATATATATATATATATATATATATATATATATATATATATATATATATATATATATATATATATATATATATATATATATATATATATATATATATATATATATATATTGAATTTATTCAAATGTTATTAGAGCATCTCAAATTGTGAGGGAAAAATTAAAAATTAAAGAAAAAATAAAAATGTGACAGAAAATTTGTGTGTAAAATTTTCAAATAGATTTATTTATAATCAATTAAAATGTTAAAGAAAAAAAATGTAGTCGTCGCTGAAGGATCACTTTTTCAATTTTATTATTATTTTATTTAAGAGACCATTGCATTGCATTGTTATAGTTGGCCAGCTTGGGTAACTCCAATCAACATTAAACGATCCGATTCATTTGCCACGCTGGAGCATCACGTGAAAAATCCACCGCGGTAGCTGCTCAATAAACACATAGTTTAATTTGTGGTAGAGTTATAATACAAATAAAATGTACTCAATTTTTTAAATAAAGTTATGACTTTTCGAATCACTAATATTAAATGTTTTTGCCAAAAATCATTATGATTTTTTAATGTTTAAATATTATATCACTTATATAAGATTATAAGGATAAAAATATAAATTATTAATGTATATATATAAAATTTAAAAAAGTCTCTCACTTTTCTCCCCTTCCCTTCTCTGATTTAAAATCTCTCCCTTTCCCTGCCTCTCATTTGAACTAACCATACACTAAAAAATTTAAGTTATAAGATGTTATAAAAAAATTTTAAGTTATAAGATGTTAGAAACTTCTAACAAATTTCATATTGAAATCTACTACTGAGCTTACTTTCTTAACAGTGCCAGCATTATATTTCAACTGATAACAAAAAAAGTCCTCAACACAAAAATGTTGCTAACATATATTTCAAAAATGACAAAATACTTGTTATATGTTATTTTTCCTCCTTTCAACCAATAAATGTAATTTACATATGTCTAACATTCTACTAAAAAATAAACCAACAATAAACATATTGGATTATGACCATATATATCATTACAAATCAAGATACAGATACTGATGACTTAGGTTTATATGAAATATCTTCTTCTCCAAGTAAAAGTGCCTTCAAAATTGCCTCACCTAAGCCACTATAATGTACAATCAAATGGCCACCATCTATAACTTCATGATATTGTATCCATGGTAGCTTTTCTGAAATGAATTTTTGAATTTGAGAGGGGACTACTTTATCTTCATAGCCTTGCCAAATGTGAACTGGAGTTCTGTTTTTGCCAGGGAATGGATTACTAAGCTTCATTGGATCAAATTCCCACTTTCCAAAGGCAATCATCCAATCACCCCTTAGAGTGTCAAAAACAACTTGGTCCCTCAGCTTTTCCTGTAAATAGGAACATACATACAATCATCACATTTACCATCACAGAAAAAGTATTACCAATGTTTTGTGAATCGGACTGGATCAGCCGCTTCAACCGGGAACCAGTCGGTCAGCCAATTGGTTCAACTAGGGTCGGTTCTCAGTCTCTTAGAATCAAATTGAACTGGGTTGGACCTTGGTTGGTTAATCTCATTTATATTTATTAGTACTTACTAATTTATTTATTAGTTGTACGGTTCAATCAATTTAACTGCAAACGAAGGTCTCATCAGTTCAATCTTTGATCGGATTTTTAAAGTATTAGTCAGAGTCGTCTCAAGTTTTTGGACGTGCTGTGTAGGTGAGCTGTACTTTAACCATAGAAAAACAAATAGAGGCCTGTTTAACAACGATTTAACCGTGACAATATTTTATGAGGTCTTATTTAGCCACAATTTAACCGTGACAAATTTTGGGTCATGTGCAGTAGTCCGTTTTGTACGCCTTCAAAGACGGAACTGATATTAGTTATTATAATACAAATTTTAAAATGCTATGATCGCAAATTAATCTGCAACATCAATATTTTTAATGGTGCTACAACCTATGCTGCTGCTGCAACTGTGATTGAAGTAGTATCAACCAGAGTTGACAGCGATTTAAGGGTTATGATGCGACCATGATTTAAAACTCTACCACGACACTTTAAACTAGTTGAAAGAAACATGTAATTTACCTTAGTAAGCATCGGAAACCCAGGAATCCTCTCTAAAATTTCAATATCTCTTTTGTTGAAGAATGCAGGGTTTTTCTCTATGACGGAATTTGAAGGGAGCCACGTTTGAGTCACCCACCAGTGTAACAGTCGAGGCGAATACCTCGCAAGCCACATAGCTATCTTGATAAGTTTCCTTCTATAATCGTCCCTTACAAGACCCTTTGGAAGGGAAGGCCATTCATAGTTGATGATTGGTGCTATCATTGCCACACCAGCTAGCCTTCACAAATGTTGAACTTGCAGTCAAATTTATATCGTATTTTTAACATAAACAGAACATAGAATTATATAAATATTCGGCTAAAATGCACTTTTGGACCCTTTATTTTCACTAATTTGCAATTGTAGTCACTAATTTGAGTTTGCAATTTACCTGTCAGGGATATAGTTGAGGCAACTCCAGGTAGCATGTGATCCCATTGAAACTCCAATCACATAAAACTTTGATCGTATTTGTAACTGATCAGCAAGTTCTTCAATGTCAAGTGCTTCACTTTTCAGTGTGCGTTTCGGATTTGGATCACTTTGTCCATAACCAGCTCGATCATAATGCAGAATATATGCTCCTAGTTCATCAATTAGTTCCTGTAGATTCAATGTCAATGTCATTTTAGTTTAGCATATTTAATGGATGCAGTGCAACTTCAATGCATGTCTTAGTCTCATGTGATGAAAAGATGCATCAAAATTCAGAATCCACTACAGTTTACAACTCATTGGATAATTAGAGAAAATTAAATTGACCTTCCCTTAAAAAATCAAATTGTTTTCATGCCACTATAGACAATTGAGGCACCATAAGTCTAGAGTTCGACCAATTGTACCTACTTCTAACTGCGGTGATTTTCTATTAAACTTAAAGGATTTCAGATTACAACATGTGTTTAAATACTACGGTCTATTTTACAAAATTATCCTCAAACTGTAGCGACCTACCCACGTATCGTCAAACTACGAGTCATACTCAAAGTGTGGCCATCACTCTTATAGGATCGAGTTAGCGCAAACATTTACAGAAACCTTTGGATTGTATCTAATTCTAAGTATCTGAATAAAACTACTACGTGTAAGGATTTGTGCCATATTTTTAAATTGCGGATGTAGATGCAGTTGTTAGGATTGCAGTGATTATAGTTGTTGCTACATAAAGTTAAAATTTTATATTAAATCTGAAAAAAATTGGAATTTAGAGGTTTACAATTTTAATTTTAGGTGAGAAGAACTGAACTAACTAGACCAAATTTGTCTTGCGAGGTTTCTAATACGATTTAAATCACACAGCAATTGCGATCCGATGCTGTTGCAGAAACTAGTGCAACAACATTACTCCAGCCCCAATTGCAGATGCTCAAATTTCAAATCATCATTTGTGCATATTGCATATCAGCCCTAACATTTCACATCAAATTCCACTCATTCCCCTTAAAATTAATTAAGATCTAAACCCATTATTTCACCATTTCATATAAAAATCTCAGATCAACATATTGAAATTCAACTAAAATGAAATCAAGGGCAATTAATACCTGTGACGCCGGAAAGTTCATATCTTTAGAACTTCCAAATCCATGAACAACAATGATGCTATGTCTTGCTTTATCCTTTGCAACACCCATTTCTCTATAAGCAAGGTACCTTCCATCACTGAGCTTAATCCTTGATGAAACCACATCACAGTTTTCATCACCATCCACTGAATCATTACTGTTTGGTGGAGGAAGTTGAGTTCCTTGATAAACCATTCCCAGAAGACCTATCAGTAACACTATAACTGCTTTTGAAACCATCTCTGAAAAATTAACAATAAAGGCTATATATAATATAGATAGATCTATGACACATATTTTTTAATATTTACTTTCAGTACAACAATAATAATAATAATAACAATAAATAATCAATCATATAATTAAAATTATGCAGATGAATATGAAAAGAAAAAAAAAACTGTATAAGGTAAATTCTTACCTGTCAAAATTGAATCAAAGATGCTTTGAAATTGATTGTTGAATAATTTGACAGGCTATGTATTTTGACTTTGTGAGATTTTTTTAGTTTTGGTAAAAGGAAAAATAATATATTTTCTGGAAGGTTTTATTTAATTATAGAAAACAGCATCATTAAGTTAGCATATAAACAAAAGATAGAAGCATCTTGTTCATGTTAGTTTTTGCAGAAAATGGGCCATAGACTGTGTCGGATTTTTCAGGAAAGTTATTATTTTTTCTTCTCCTAATATAATTCATGCTTATTACTAAATATCTTTGACCCTTACTTTAAGTATTTATGTGGCTTACATCTTTTCAGAAAATCAAATTCAAATTAATTTTCTGAGTTGGAATATTACCTATTTTAAATATAAGATTCTTTCAATAAAATTAAATAAATATTTTTTTTATGTAAATCGCATAAAATTAATAAAAATTGATATATCATGCCTTCTATGTAATTAATTATAATAAATCTAAAAATGAAAATTTTGTGTTGATAAAAATAATTTTTAATTTTTAATTAAAGTCATGCACAGTTTTTAAGATTTTTTTTCTCATTTAACTCTTAACTTGTGCTCTTGAGGCATAGGCTAGTAATATCCTAATTATTATTAATATTTTGTTTATAATATATTCAAGGGGTTTAATATGTATTTAATTTCTATAAATAATCTAAAATTTAGTTTTAGTCCTGTAATATTTTTTTTTTAAAAATGGTATTCATAAATTTTTTCTTCCCTATCATATATTTGACGTAAGAGAAGATTACGTAGAAGATTAAGGGTCAATTTTTATTTTATTTTTAAATATTGTTGAATAATGAAAAACCATGTAGTTAGTAACTATTTCTCTAATATGAGATAAAAATAGGATGATTTCATTGAAAGAAAAACTTTAATGTCTCTCTCTTCTTCAAGTGAAAGTATCTCTTTCTTCTTTAAGTGTATGTCATATGTCAAAGTTTTTTTATTCCTCTAATCTTCTTCAAGCGAATGTTTCCTGTTGGTTCAGTTTGTTCATTGTAGCACTAATCAATTCATTTTGGATTTGTATGCAGCTGTTTCATAGTTTGTCGCAGATTAAGTCTCTTTTGTGTTGTGGTCTCAAACTGTGTATTGAAAACGTGATCTTGAAAGGAACTTGCTTGTGGTCCTTGTTGTGATCTATAGTCCTTCAACGTTGAATTAGAGGTAGGTTCACATGTTTAAATTCATATATTAATTTTTTTATTAAATATTGGTATAAAGTTTGTATTTTACTTTAAAGTGTGTCGTAATCCTTGATTTTCTACGTATGTTGTTAGTTTTTGCATATGTTGTTAATTTGTGCAACCTTAAGGGAAAAAGTTAAGGAGTATAAGGGAAACATCATGTCAAAACCACTTAAGACATTAGATAGAGATATAGAAAAGAGTGCAAGTTGGACTGCAATTTATGCACGACTGTTGACATTCCAAGTTACCCATGTCATGTTTACTAATAGCTTTGTGGTTGACTTGGCTAATCAAACACGTGCATGTAACTTTTGGAATTTGAGTGGAATAAATGGCCCAAGACCAACGATCATATGATTTTTCCTCCAATGTTGAAATGAGGGTCAGGGAGGCCAAAAAAATCTTCGTAGAAGTGAACCTGGTGAATCAAACAAAACTAAATGGTAACAAACATATACTAAGGGCAAGACTTGTTTGGAGTAAGGACATAATATTAGGACATGCAAGATGAACAAACAAATTATACTACACAAGAACCAAGTTAACACAACATGCGAAATACCTACATAGGCTAGTCAAACTAACAATGTCCAAAAGGCAACAACAAAAAATGTTAGTGTTTTGAATTAGTACACCTTAAAACAAATTATACTCGGTTTCTTTATGATCAAGAAACACACAAGGATTAGGGTTAAGAAAAAACAAGGAGAATAACAAAGATTGGTTATAACTGTTATTCCTTACTTTTTCTATAAGACAGATTACAAGTACTCAAGAATAACAAATAACCTTCTCAACCTAATTAGGTTTTGTCACACCACACATAAGATGAGAGATTAGTATGCTATTTATAATAAAATCTAACATACTAAACTAATGAGATTTTTAACAATTACACATTACAAGCTAACTTATGGTACAAGCTAACTTAAACAATTAGATCCTTAACACAAGACTCAATTCGATAACTACATACTAGAACACAATTCGACTACAACATGTAGGTCTTCGACAACAACATGTGAGCAAACTTCGACGGTATGCTAACTAGAGTTTGATCCAATATCTCACAGTTGGTATATTATTTTTGATTAATGCATATATCAACTTAGGTATAATTCTAATTATGCTCATATTTTATGGGAGACCTAAGGGGCCAGTGAGTAGTATTGTCATAACTATTACTTCCCGTCATATATAAACAATATGATTTCAAAGAAGAAGAAAGTCAAACATGTTATAATTGATACCAAAAAGAGTGAAAGAATCATGACTCTCAAAACAAAAGACATCATGGGGCCTGAAAAACATCCAGAAGATCCAATTGTAATCACTAAAGAGGATACCTCAATAGGACCAAGTAAGAGTGCTAGGAGAATGAAAAGTTGAAATGAAATTTACAAGGGTTTAACTCAATGAAGACGACGAGGGAATTTGAAGTGTTGAAGATATTTTGAAGTTGAAAGTTACCAATGTATTTGGGTTATGTCTTTTGGTTGTACTATGTGTTTTAGTTATGCTACAATCTATGAGCAATACTTTGTATTTTGATCATGCTACAAGAATTAAGCTACTATGTATTTTGGTTATGCTACAATCTATGAGCAGTACTTTGTATTTTGATAATGCTACAAGCATTAAGCTACTTTGTATTTTAATAATGCTACTATGTATTTTGTATTAAGCTTTACTAAGTTGTATTTTGTCATTAATAAATCATTTGGTATTTTTAGTTTTACAATTGCTGTCAAATTTTGAGCAACCTCTGATTTTGTGCCATAATTTCAGGCATTGCCTGTCAAATTGTTGTCTAAAACTCTATCAAGTTTTAGGCTTAATTTGTCCATTTAAGTAAAAAATTTTCAAATTTTAGGTATAATCTTCCATAATGTCTATCAAAATGTATACCACACTCGGGGCTTAATTTGTTAAAATTATAGAATCATTAAGTCAAATTCAACACAATTGCATTAAAAACACAATGATTACATTCATTAAGCAACCTTACATAACACTAACATGGATCTAGTTTTAAAAATTTCAGTTAGTTATAAGGTATATATTAATCATAAGAGAAACTAAAAACAACAAGATCTTGATATTCCCAACATATGCCTCTGATTTCAATTTTGACTACAACTTCATGTTCTTATTCTTTGAACATTCATACAACCCCTCAACAGTTCAACAATCTCCAAATCCTCAACTTGTTGACATCTTCCTTTTCAACACCATTAACATCTTCTTCAACCAAATTTTCATCCCATATGAATAGATCACAAGTATCTTCACTATACCAAAAAAGACATCTCCAGAAGAGCATGCCTTTATTCTGATTGTTCTTGCAGATGTATGATACTATATGAGTTTCACAACCATAATTTCTTCCCCGGCGACATCTCATAGAGGACGAAGACATGGAGATGAGTTTCGTAGCACTTGTTTTGCAAGACAACGTGACAGAACTTTGAAGGAGAAAATGTTGAATTACATTATGAAGAAGAGGAGTTTGATTACGACTGCAACAAAGACTGAGCTACAAGAAGAAGATGATGAATTAGGTTATGAAGATGAAGAATAAAACGTTCCAATTCCCAAATGATTATATAATTTCTTAAAATAAATAATAAAGAATGACACGTCAACTAATTGTAAAATATTTTCGTACATGGTTATAGCACCATTGGCGGAACTACGTTAATAAAGATTGACTGCAGTTGCAAGTTCGATTTGTGCAAGTATAATATATTTGGTAAATAATGTTGTGTTCGATTCAAGATCGTAAAACAAAAATAGAGGAAATTTTAGACTATTTGCAATTTTTTGTGTGGGAGCATACCAAAGAAGTTTCCAAGAGTGGTTATAGATATTCTTGTGACTTTCGCAAATGATTTTTCTTGCAAAATTTGGGTGTATTTCTTAAATCACAAATCATAAGTCTTTACCAAATTCATGTTGTGGAAGACAGAGATACAGAATTGAAGAGGCAGAAAAATAAAGTATTTGTGGTCACATAATAGGACATAATACACTGATTCAAATTTCAAGAGGTTATGTGAAGAACACTATATTCAAAGATATTCCTCAGTTCGTAAGACACCACATCAAAATGGTGTGGCAAAGAAAATGAATAGGTCTCTAACTGAAATAGAAAGATGTCTCTTGTTGTATTATCAAACTATTTTTTGAAAGATGCATTTAACATGGTGTGATATCTTATCAACATATCACCGCCGACTTCATTGGAGGGGAATGTTGCAAAGGGCGTATGGGCAAGTAATCTTGTTGATCTTGAAATTTTGAGGATTTTTTAGTGTCCAATTTATGTGGATATATCCGGTAAAGATCAATCTAAACTTGATTCAAATTTGAAATGTGTCTTTGTCGGCTACGCAAAAGGTGTGAAGGTGTTTCAACAGGGGTGAGAATAGGTCAGACCAACTAACAGAACCATACAGCTTAGCCTACACATGCCCAGGTAAGGCCAAGTTTTTTTAAATAGAAAATGTCTATGATTTTTTTATAAATCAATGTAGTTTAAAATGCTATAGACATCCAGCCATAAAAAACCTTTTAATCATAT